CCAGATTCGATGACTTGGAACTACTTATCCTGGGTGACATCAACTTAAACTGATTAACAAGCGCATCTGCCGATCTAAAAAATAATATTTTATTAATGCTGAGGTACAAAATGCGCTTAGTTTGTTTGAGTCAGCAAAATCCACTGGGGCTGATCATCTGGATCCAAGGCTGCTGTTACTCGCAGCTCCACTTTTGGCTGAGTGTTTGACTTATCTTTTTAATCTAACTATTTTAACAGAAACCATCCCTGACCTTTGGAAAACAGCATATGTTCTACACAAGGTGGGTCTGTCCACCAATATCAATAACTATCGTGCCATTTCGACCATGCTTAGCCAAAGTTCTAGAAAAGCTTGTTAACAATTAATTAAGAACATTTTTGTCACATCATTCCATCCTAAAAACGTATCAATCAGATTTTAGACCGGGCCACAGTACAGTGTCAGCAGCATCAAAGGTCCTCAGTGATATTGCTTCTGCTTTAGACAATAGGCAGGACTGTACAGCACTTTTTTATCCACCTATCGCAGAGTTCTGATACTGTGGGTCATTCCCTCCTTTTGAAACGCCTGGAATCAGTTGGGTTTGACAAAAAGTCTTATACTTGGTTTTCAAATTATCTGTATAATAGAAAGCATGCTGTTGTGGCTGCCGGCTATCAGTCTGGTTGTATGTCTGTAAATAGAGGTGTGCCTCAAGGTTCTATTTTAGGACCACTCCTATTCATTATGTTCATAAAGGAATTAGGTCAAACTATTAACTACTGTTCAATTCACTTGTATGCAGATGATGCTGTTTTATACTCAGCAGCGCCCTCTGTTGGTCAGGAAGTTCAAAACCTACAATTGTATTTCTCTGCTATGCAAAATTCTTTAATTGATCTTAAATTACTGTTAAACTCAGACAAAACGGAATGCATGCTGTTCTCTAGAAAACTGACCGACACTTCAGTAAACATCTTCACTCTAAATGGGACACCGATACAAAAACTGTCATCTTGTTTTCTGGATCGATGACAATCTGTCCTTTATAACACATATTAATGAATTCACTAAATCATTGAAAGCAAAATTGGCATTCTTTTATAGGAATAAATCATGTATAATACATAGCTGCAGAAAACAAATGGTTTTTATCAGTCTTAGATTATGGTGATGCAATTTGTATGCATTCTCCTGCCTCCACTCTTAAACCACTGGATCTAATTTATCATTTAGCTCTCAGGGTCATAACCTGGGACGGCTACAGAACACATCATTGTTTACTCCATGAGAAAGTTGGGGGGCCGTCATTGGCAGTTAGAAGAGAACAGCATTTTATTCATCCACAAAGCATTGTTAGAAAAATTGCTTGAATGCCATACTTGTTATTTTAATTATAGATCAACTTCTTGGCTACAAGGTGGCACAGTTGGTTAGCACTGTTGCCTCGCAGCAAGAAGGTCGCCGAGCCACCTTGCAGCCTTTGTTAAATCATGTAATATTGTTTTTCTTTTTGTAATTTGCAAATTTGTGAAGGAATGAAAGAAAGCAGTTCAACTCATTGGATGAAATTACTGATCAGCAATTTCAGAGGTAAGCATGAGAGGTAAGTTTACACTGAGACCACACTAAAAAATCAAAGTTCAAGCAAAAATTATGAAGATTGTTTAAATTTATCCTCATTTGAAACAGTAGTTTGTTTCAAAAAACTTTGATTATAGATGACATTTAAAAAGTTGCTATGAAAGCTTTCTCATAAAGACAGGTTCAGCTCGGGACTTGTCTGTACAGGCTGAACCGGTGCTAAATCACACACTGACAGCAGATGGCACTTTGAGGCCGAGTTTGTTGTGACAAGCATGGATTAGTGTATGACTCCAAAATGGCGCTTGGGTTTGCCCTTTCGGTGTATTAGACCCAGAAGCACTTGTGCACAAACATTTTGGAAACCGGCAGCACACATGGTGAGGTGGTGAATTGAAGCCGGATTCATCTCATTTGGCTCCAAACATGTAGGTAGGTGCGGCGCTTCTTGCGAACTACATAAACACCATTGTAGAAATTCTAACAATTAAAGCCTGATTTATAATTACTCTTCTGTTATACCTTGCAGGTGATAGTGACTAACCCCTAAGGCGTTGGCTCCTCAACCCTTTTACCAGCCTGTGTTGAAATATTTAATTTCTACATGTAATTAACAAATAAATCTGTACTTTACCGGACTCTTCTGTGGTCTCTGTTCCTTTCCATCATTGTGCCGCACACTCTGGCCGTCTCAAGGATGGAGACTATTTTGGTGTCAACTATTACTTAAAGTTGCACAAGCACACCTTTTCCTTGTATGGGTCAAGATGGTGGAACTTTCATTTTGCTTTCCATTTTAAATAAGTTGAAACAAACAAGAGCCTCAATAATATTTCTGTCATACATACTGTGTTCACCAAAGCAGTCATAAAAAGGATAAAGTAGAGCTACTTTTGGTCTATTTGAGAACACCTGACCTCCTTACTAATACTAAATATATTTTAACATTTCTGTTGCTGATGCTGGTCATTAGTGTAACATATGTGTGAATAAACAGGTTTGAGAAGTGAATTTATAGGGTGATGCACTTTCTCTGAACTCGGCGTACAATTACAGACTTCTTAAGTGGAACAACACGTTCCATATGAACTTAATGTGTGTGCAAAGGGAAACTGATAGAATATATACAGTATACAACACATTTATATGGAATCTATATTAGAGAAATACACTAAATCTGGGTGACCTACAAAATGTCTGAAGGGACTTCTTTGTAACATGGCTCCCTGAAGTGTTTTCATTATCCTGACATAAACGACACCTACCCTTTTTATTATTATCCCTTTAATCAAAGTGTAAACTGTTAAGGTTTGCTTGAAAAAAAAAAAGACAATACATTTTTCAGATTAATTTATTTCAAAGAGGGGATGAGCACATATTTTATACATTTCAGCAGAATTCCAGCAAACACTTCGGACAGAAAACCCGTCATGTAATATTGAACGCTTAGTATTTTGAAAAGTTATTTAGGCAGAAACAGAATCAAAAGAGCATTTCAGCGTTAGACGCACATCATTTTTTCTTATCAAACACAAGATATTTCATATCATACAAAAATAATTGGTCAAATAACCTGCATCCCCTACCATAAGTCATACTCAGATATCAACTCAAAATTTGTTGTCAGCTAAATGTGAGAGCTTTTTTTTTTTTGGTGAGAAAAAAAAGTGTGAAAGTCAGAAGAAAAAGTTATCCTGTTCATTGAAGGTATGATGAATAACAGCAGACGCATGGAGAGGACTTCACTCTGAATAGAGAAAAAGAAAAAGTCGTCACACAGGAGATAATGACAAACGACCAACTGTGAAAATTCCTGGTGGATTAAAATAAGAAATCTAATAAAGCAGTAAACTCACCAATCAGGGCCTCCACTGACGGTTACATCTTTGGTTCTGTAATTTTAAAAAAAGGCATAAAGAGGTTGTTATATACAGTTTTAAAATACTGTTTTTCTTCCCTGCTTCATATCAGTATAAGTCTAAGCTACATGTGTTTGGTGAAATGTAACACTGTAACTATCTATTGTTATCCTGGCGTCTTTCTCAGGCTCCTCTCTATTGCTAGCTTCACTCGCTGTACTACTTGCCGATTCAGTTTCTTGAAACTAAACGTGTGTCGCACCCACATCTTGGGTGACCCTAACTCACCCCATTCATAGTCTTTGCTGACCCCTCCATGAGTGACTCGGCAGGTATACTTGGTTCCCTCTGCTGGCGTGAAGGGAGCGCTTTTGGTCAGATGGAAGTGCCAGTCGTGTTTGAAGGCCAGGTCGGTCTGGGTCGCATCAGGGAGTTCGGCACCATTCTTCAGCAGCTCGATGGTGATGTCTGGGGGGTGGAAGTTGCTCACATGGCAAATCAGGGTGTTCTCATTTCCGAACTGTCCTGGGTTACGGCTGTAGACTTGGACCTTGGGAGGAGCTAAAGGGAACAAAGAAAGAGAGGGGTGGAAATTTAAAAAAAATTAAAATAAAAATCAGCACAGAAACATGGGATGCTTATCTTCTGGTTACAGGGCACACAGGGTGATCTAATGAGTACCAGTCTTTGTTTTACACACTTGATTGTCCTTCCTAACTAGAACTAATTAAATGACAAAATAGGAAAAAATAAATAAATAAACATGAAACTAATCATCACCACGGTGACGGTCCTCTTGATTAAGGGGAATGAGAGAGTTTTTTTTGAAGTGTTCATTAATATTGAAAATCAAACCAACAGTACTTGTGTTCAGTGTAATCCCATTTGGGCTGTTCTATTTTAAACCAATGACAATAAAACAATAGAACAAGCTCATGTTTTGTTCACAGTTTGATTCCTACTTAGAAAACATGCTGATTTTTGACTACGGACAAAAAAACAACAACAACAACAAAGTGATATGTGTCAGAGCTTTATTGTCAGGGGAAGTCGCCATTTTGTGAACGAATTAGTTCGCTGCCGTAAATTTCACTTGTTTGTGAGACACATTGTAATTTTAGTTAAGCGGCATAAATTAAGATTGTGTCAACTGTTAGACCCGTTCCATATTCCTGACCCAAATAAATCAGAACTTACGATGCAAACGTCTCTCATCCACGGCAGCTCACGTCAGATGAGCCAGCTAAACTGCAGTGTTTATAGTTGGCCTCGATTCTCCTTTAAGAAGCAACTTGTGGCAAAATAAAATGTGTTTTTACGCCGTACCTGTTGCCATATTTTGTTAATTGCCGTAATCATTACACAGGAAATGGGCTCTATAGTTATGGGAAACACGCACACGGCTGCTTCAAGTTCTGACTTTAGGCAGAAAATTTGAAAAAAATAATACATTTGATAGAAAGTACAAAAGTGTTTTTGACTTTAGTAAACAGATTAGACTTTAATAAATAAGATTATATAATGGGACTCTGCTGTGTAACAAATAATCCAACTCTAAAACTGTATTACCTGCCTGACGTGTAATAAAAGAACAGATTATGACTTTTGTCCCCTTTCGATCAGGAACTATTCATCATTATGAACAGTAAAGTTACACTACACGCAGATTGTTGCGCACCTCTCTTCACCTTGAGCGTCATGTGGACCCTGCTGTTGTCTGAAGCTTCAACTCTTGAACAAACTCAGAGAAAAAGCTTCTAGAAACTGCTGGAACCACCAAAATAAACTTCAGCTATCGTTAGTGTCCAGGTCAGTCCAGTGTGATATTTATTTTGTGGGTATTTGTTGTGTAATTTATTTTATTTTTTATGCTGTATTGTCTGATTTTGATTTTGTAAACTGTGCATCTGGACAGTTGTATGTGTTTTTCCTTCATAAATGCATGATTTTAACATTTCTTGGTGTAAGAAGTTTAGCTGCTTTACGTAACACCGGCCGCTCAGCTAGTCACTCAGCTGGCACAGTGTCATGTTAGTCGAGTGGCGTATATTAAATTTTTTTTAAATCTGTATTTTGACGGGCTTTGTTGGATTACTTTGATTTCCAAATCAACTTGACATTGACTTGCTGTCTTCACAAAGGACGCCTAAACATTTTAAAGTACAGTAAAGAGAATAAAAAGCCAATCTTCCTGCTTTGCTCCACTTGATTCTGAAAGTTTATGGACATTGTACAACTATAAACTATACAGATGTTCTAGTTTTTGATGTGTGACAGAGAAGGAGATGAGATGGAGGTGACCTGGTTTGAACCGTCCTGAGGCCAGTGAAGGCCCAGTCACAGCCCTGCTGCCTTTACAGGAAAACGAAAGTAAAAGCAGAGCGCTGCGGGGAATTCCACCGAAATAAAACACGACAGATTTTAATGTTTCTTCTTATTAAATGTGTTCCTAACATCAACTCTAGCTGCTGGGACTTCATATTTAATCGCCTCTGGTAAGAAGAAAAAAAAACACGCTGTATGGTTAAATTTAGCCTTCTATCAAATTGTCTTTATTTTTTATGCTGTCTATCAAAAACATATAGCCTGAATATGAAGGTTACGAAAAGCCATCAAAGATAAAACGCCACCATGTTTGGGACAAAGTTTCGGACATTCTTTCTTTCGTAACAACATTACGACAGGAAGGCTGAAACTGATATAAAGAGAGAAAAAAAAAAGAAAACAAACTACTTACTGTGTTTGGAGTCTACCAAGCAGTAGAGTGCTGCAACAGCTGCTGCGAACAACACCAGCTTCATTTTGTTAGATCTGGTTTGTCTTTGTCTTCAGCTCTAAAGTGCGTGTCCAGCTGCCCACTCTGAGAAGCGCGTCCTACTAAAATGAAAATACTGAGCAAAACGGTATTATCCCGTCCTGTAGTCCCGCCCACTACATGACGCTGGCCAATCAGTGATTTTTCCCGTGCTGTTTCCAGGTAAATTATGACGAAGCAGGTTTGGTTTACAGTGGATTGTTAACGCCTGTGAAACCCCCTGAAATCCCAGAGTCACGGCCTCAACAAGAACACACATAAACACAATTTCAATCATGTTAAGATGATTAAAATAATCACTAATTATTTCTTCCTCTTCTGTCTTGTCTTACAGGCATTTGTTTGGGTAGTCAAGTAGATTTCATCATGAAAAAGTGCATTTTTACTGCTTTGTTGTAAGATTTGTTCTTGACAACTTTCTGTTTTTGTTTGTTTGTTTGTTTTTTTAGTGATTTTTACGTACCATTATGTAAGTCTCTAAGGCCTTTTCAAATAAAGTCGCTACTGCAGATGTGTAGTTATAACTAAGGCTGTACAAATGAGGATAAATGAGAGGATAAATGTGTAAACAAAGTCAAAGGGAAAGCGAAAGCTAGTTTTCTTCACTTACTGTCATTGTGGTTTCTTAGTAAATAAAACATAATGTAAAAACAAAAACCAGCAACGGACATTGTCATCAGTAAATGTCTTCCTTGCCTATAGTGACATAAACAACAATAACTTACAAACAGGTACAAGGTGACTCTTTATTCAGGCAGTTGTGATAGTTAGGAACAGAAGAGTACTGAGAATGTGAGTGTGAATTTAGAATAGAATAGAATAGAATAGAATAGAATAGAATAGAATAGAATAGAATAGAATAATTGGGTTGTCCGTTTACCCACCTCCTCTATGGGGTCCAGGGAGCAGTCCAGGACAGAACCGGCCCTCCTCACCAGTCTGTTCAGTCTCTTTCTGTCCCTTTGCACTCAAAGTTGTTCACAGAAAGTAAGCAAAAAGGCCAAACAAAGAGCTGTAGGGGTTCTATATGGGGACAACCCAGAACCCCCAAAGACAGATTTAGGACTACAAAGTCTTAGCTGACATGAGAACTTTGTATTTCCACATTGAAACACATCCAAAGTGTCCTCTAGTTTTTACACAACACAATCATGTAGTGGACACTCAGCTCTTCCTTGTTTTGGGCCGTATCAGGACAGCTTTTTCTTTTTTCATGATTTGCAATTTTTATTTTCTGAGTTTAAAATCAACATACACAAGATAATGAATAAGCTGACTGAATGATGGAACAAAGAAAAACACTGAAGCACAATATAAAAATAATACAAATAAAGAAAACTAAATGAATAAATTAACTAAGACAAAACACATCTAATACCAGCTCATCCACATTCTTGTGCATCCGTCTGATCTTTGCTGTGACGTCTGGATATTGTAGAAGTACATGCCCCACTTTAGATCATATTTTTCTGTTCTTGAGAAGATCCAGTCCCTGCAAAAAATGTCTCTATGCATTATGTTGGTGATACAATTTGATACAGAACTCTCTAAACATACTACTGATGTCCACAGATTTGACCTCATCTGTTCTAATGGCTGAGGTAATTGATGATAGCTCTCTCTCTCTGTTTTAAACAGTTTGTCATTTTTGTCTCATTCTGAAAAGCGAGAATCCTACTTTCTGTGACAAGATGCTATTATACTCATATTTGAACTGTATTAGAATCCAAGGTGATCACCATTAAAAGGTTTTTCTTAAGTTGGTCTCGACCTTTTTAATTCTGTCTTCAATTTCCCTCTGTTTTGCATTATTCCTTTTTTTCTTATGAGAAGCGTATAAGTCTCTCAGCGCTGCTTTCAAGGCTTCCCAGGCAGAGGATGCTGTGGGCCCATTCGTCTCAATATACATCATAATTTGACTATTTTCTCAAATTGCACATTTTGTACAGTTGTTTTATTTATTTTATTTTATTCACCTATTTTATTTGTAATTTTTAAATAGTATTTTCTGCTGCTGTACCAAAGTAATTTCCCAGACTGGGATTAATACAGTATTTTTCTATTCTATTCTATTCTATTCTATTCTAATGCAGAATCTTGTAATAGAGATGAATTGAATCTCCACCTTGGCATCCTATCGCTGAAAGGCAAAACCTCCAAGCTAGAGCTATAGCATGGTCCGAAACTAAAATACTGCCAATGGAACATGACATTACTGACTGTAAAAGATCTTTGGAAATAAGAAAAAAAATGTATTCGAGAAAAAGCTGTGTGTGGACTACCGTTAAATTTGACCGTTACAGCCACAAATATCCCTGTTAGACACTGATGTGATCCTGCTGCCATATTTCTATGTAGAACAAGGAGGACTGGGAGCATGTCTTTAAATCAAATACTCTCAAACATACAGTTCACTCTCCAGCCACAATCTGACCTCCATATGTATTAAACTGTGTGCTGAAGATATGCAGAGTTTGCAGGTGGTTGAATGAGAAATGAGTTTTTGAATTGTGAAGTGTTATTTATCGTATTTTCTAAGAAGTGAAAGAAAAAAATATTGTCAGCGGTTCAGATTGTGTGACATTACAGAAGGACTGGACGTGTTTCTAGTGTTTTGTCAGTGAGTACTTCTGACAATATCGCCTGTTTGTTCTGATGCATTTTATCAAACCAAACTAATGTTGTGCTTTGTGTTGTTGTGGTGAGAGGCTGCTGCGTGTGTGTTTCTGTGAACAAACCCGGGTTAAGCTTCAACTTCTGCTCTGGATCTCTGACACTGAATGCACAGACTGACACACAACACAGCCTGGTTCTATGTTGTGTGTTTTGCTTGGTGAGACAATAATATGATTTGTGTGTCATTATTAAACAGGCAGCGTGTGTCTGTGTTAAGTTGTGACTATCATCGGTTGATCTGGGCGTGTTTCCTGAATAACCAC